GGTGAAAGAAATGACGGTTCATTTTTTGTTTGTTTGTTTGGCTTTAGGAGGGAAGAATGAGCCGATGCAATGGACACCGGAACAAGTTTGCACATCAGAGGAAGATTTTTTTTTCTTCTTCCATCTCTTAACGACTCATTCTACTTCACTTTCTCCACAAATTATTACATGATCACAAATTACTGATCTCGACTATTGAGATAAATATAAATTTAAATTAAATTGATACAATTGGAACACATTTACTATCTTTAGTTATTATTCAGTGACCTAATTAGTAGGGCGTCCAGTTTTCCGAACAGGTGTGTTCGTATTTAAAAATAATTTATTAAATAGTTTTGAACTCATAAAAAAAAAAAAAAATTAGTGGGACGAATTGTAATTTTAGTGAGGTATCTTTATAAATTCTCAAAAGTTTAAAGTATAAAATGCAACAAAAAAGCAGAACCCAGTGGGACAAATTATAATTTTAGTAAAGACATTTTCATAAATTTTAAAAAAAGTAAAATATAAAATGAAAATATAAAAAATTTAGTGAGGGAATCTTCCCTCATTGGCTCTATATTAGGCCCGTGCCTAACAACGATTGAGAGTGCTTCCAACGTCCACCAAATATCAAATGATAGAAGACTATCTACTAATTTGGAGTCCGTCCCCCTCCACCTAATACCGAATACCCCTATTCTTCCATTGTACTAATTTTTAGTTAATGGAATACCTCATTAATGGAAGTCAATGTTGACATTGAGTTTTTAAAAGTAAGACTATGTTTGCCATATGATTTCAGATAGAATTTTTTTTCCATAAACTCATAAGACTATATTTTACCTTATACTTATCTACAAGGAATTGTCAATCATTTTTTATTTTAAGATCTGCAAATTAAAATCAAAAGGTCAATATAGAGATTGAGTTTTGAAAAGAGATTGAGTTTTGAAAAGTAAGACTATGTTTTCCATATAGTTTCAGATAAAAAGTAATGAAAAGTATTTAAAATGTCTTGTTTTTCAATAAACTCATAAGATTATTAGTATTAGGTGTTAAGTGATGATTGGCAGGACCATATAATCATTTTCCGAGAAAGAAAAGGCAAAGGAAAGTTGATGGAAAACAGGGGCAGACATTGTTAATGGGAGATTAAACAGAAAAGCCAAAGTCAAAGAAATGGTGCGAAACGAAAACGAGTGATTAAAATTTAAAAGCAACTTAAGAAAAAGGATCCAACGGTCAAACACGACTGTGTTCAATGGATACAAATAGAACCTAAGCCGTGTATTCTCTCTCATGCACTTTCTCTGCTTTTGCCCATTCCTTCTGTGCCCCTCATCATCCATCAATTTTCATTGGAAGTTTGTGGACTTGTTTAAATCACCTCCCTTGTAGCTAAATAGGTCACGGTGGATTGTGATTTTCTTTTTCTTTTATTCATTAGGAAATTATTGATAAACATTAGTTATTTTGTTAATTATCAGTTCAATGTAACAGGATTTGGATAACACTATATTAGATATAATTTGAACATTTGGGTTTAAGTCTTTTTCAAAAAGCAAAAAAAAAAAAATAAAATAAAATAAAATAAAATAAAATAAAATAAAATTATTAATTGAGTAATATATCTTTATGGAGACTCAAACCTACTACTAAACTACGATGCAATTGGTGGTACATATCATTAGACAAGACTTGCCTACTCATTCATACTAACCGTTGATGTGATCTAATTACACGTGCACAAATAATTTGTAATTACAAACTTTGAAAAATGATAAATAAGGATAATAACTTTTTTTCTGGAATAAATTCAGTGTTTTGCTTATTTATCACTTCCCTACACATTATTTGTGCATGTGTGATTAAACCACACATCAGTAGTGAGTATGAATGATCTACTCACCGGTGAGTAAGTAACTTGTCCCATATATACATACAGTAAATAAGAGAATTTATCCACGCTTTATATTTGGACATTCCAAACCCATTAATTTTCTTTTCTTTGACTAGAAAACCACCTTGAAAATACAAGGGATTGGAATTTACCAAATGTTATATTCTTTGATCCATATTTTATAAATTCAATCCATCCATATACTTTTTTTTTTTTTCTTGTTTGCAATCACCAAAAAAAATGTTAATATAACAAAGCAGTACAAAGATCAACATAATTATACTTTTTTTTTTTTTTTTTTGTGGTGTGCAATCCCCAGCATGTCAGTGAAACACATGTAAAAGAATTCCATACCATGAATTAAAATTTTGATTTTTCAGAGATAACAAAAATGAAAAAGACAGGACCATTAAATATATATATATATATATATGAAAAGGTGATTAGATTAACAAATAATTTCATATAAGAGAGATAATTGACTGTGGTAGACTAACGAGATATCAAAGCAATAAAGGTGTTATTAAATTAACAAAGTAAGAAACAATGAAAATAATAATAATAATCTAAGAAGGAAAATAATACTTGCATCAATTACTCAAACTCAAAACTCAAGTCGGTGGTGAAAGATAAAATTTTAAAGACAAAACTATCTTTATAGAATCTCAATTAGTAAAGAATCTCAATTACTAGTAATATTTCTTTCATCCATCTCTACCCTATAATCAAACCATTATTTATTTTCTTCTCTCACCTTTTTCTCCATTACCATCATTGATTTCTGATCAAGTACTTGGTTTTCTTCCCCGTTATCTCTGGCATCATGACCACCGTAGCCGTCGCCATACAAACACGCACCACTTTTCTTTCTATTTTTCATTTTTTTTTTTTTTTTTTGAGTTATGATGAAAATTGCGAAATTTTGCATATTCTTGTATATATATATATATATATATATAAAGGAGAGGTTGTTAGGAAATCAGTACCAACTGGTACTTCTGATACTAATTGGTACGGGTTTGCGGAAAGAGGGAGAGTGTTTTGATAAAATTTTAAAAACAAAATTATGGGGATTGATTTTAATATATATATATATATATATATATATATATATATATGTATGTAAGAAATTTTATAAAAATGTTAGAAAATGTCCTCCCAAAAATTTTAAATTTCTAAAAATATATGATAAAATTTTCTTGTACTTTTTAAATTCTTTTGATTCCTTATTAAAAAAAAAAAATTTATATTCCCTTTTTTTAGTTAAATCCTAATTTTGTTTTCCTTTCAAAGTTCTTTCTTTTGTCTTTGTGTTTTTTTGTTTTGTTTTTCTTTATTCTTCTTAAAAAATTTTTTTTTGAAAGGTACATTTCTATATTTTGGATTTGTGTCTTGTTGCATTGCTAGTTTCAATACATTTCCTTTGAAATTGATTTATGCTTGTTACAGTTTTTATTAAGACTATGGTGCATCGTTAAAGCAATCAAGGCTAATAAAATTAATGAAAAGCATGGGGTAGTTGAATTTTTTTTTTTCTTTTTTGATAAAGTACACTACACTCCTTGAAATCCTGGCTCTACCTAGGAAACCAATAAGAGACTGAATTGGCTATTCGAAAACCCTCCTCACCAATGTAAGTGCAAAATTTCGCTCAACCAATAATGATTGAGCGAAAATTAAACAACTCACCCAATAAACAATAAAAACAAACAAGAACAATGTCTAGAGAGGCGTGGAATTGCTTGATCCCTTTATTGGAGGTTTCGGCCTCTATTTATATACAAAAGTTAGAAGAATTATGGTAGGACTCACGTTGCTTATCCTCTAATTCTTTCCATATATCAATTTCTTTACAAATAGAATTCTTTACTCTTTATAATTCTTCCCTTACTAGATTTTCCTTACACAGAACTTGCTTCTTTTGGAGACTCCTTTTCCTTGCAGGATCGACTCCTTCTTTAAATGGATTTGGGCCGCATTTAACTTGGTCCACATGACTGCTGGCGTCTTGATTCGGGCTTTAGTAAAGCTGGTAGTTAGATAACAGTAGTTTTGGGCTAATGACCAACTCAACTTGGGCTTCTGACGATATGAGCTTTGAACTTTATTGAAGATAAAGTTATATTTATGATGACGTGGACTGCTCTTATTGGAGGGAGATTTTTCCCTCCACAACCAAGTATTGTAAAGTAATATATTTGTGTATCAGGAATCAATGATAACAATGGAGAAAAGGGTGAGAGAAGAAAATAAAGAATGGTTTGATTATGGGATAGAGATGGATGATGAGAGATATTATTGGTAATTGAGATTCTGTAAGGATAGTTTTGTCTTTAAAATTTTATATTTCTAAGTGTAGTACAGTTATAGTGACACATCACCATCAGCTTACGATTTTAGGTCTGAGTATTTGGTGTAAGTATCATTTTCCGTCTAGTATTAATTTTAATTTTAATTTTTATTCCAAGAGTAGTGACTAGTGAGCGTATAAAATTGGTAATTACCTTAATTATTAAATGGTGGTATTAATAATCTTAAATTTGAAAACTAAAATAGGCATAGGGTGGTTTTCTAATAAATAACCCTTCTTGCCTTATAAAAAAAAAAAAAAAAAAAAGTTTTCTAATAAATAATAAAAAAAGAAAAAGAAAATTAGTGGATTTGGAATGTGACAGTAATGATCCATATACAAAATGTGGATAAATTATCTTACTCACCATGTGAAAAAAAAAAAAAAAAAAATTCTTACTCACCATAACCATAGCCAAATAATAGATTAATTATAAGAGTATATTTTTAGTGATTATGATATTGGATCTGATAATTCCAATTATACCAATGTTATTCAAGTCAAACATTTGAATAAAAAGATAGTTTTCTAATAATTATTTATATTTATATGAAGTTTGACATGACGTAATCTCTATGATTCAATTAGACATATTCAGTTGACATTGTTTAATAGAACAAGCAATTGTCCTAGAAAACAAAATTCCATAAAATTTAATTTTCTTCCCCCTTATTGATGGAAAAAGCCTAATTGGTCAGTTAACACAGATACGTCACCGCAGGTGTACAAAATTGTTTTCTCCTTTTCCTACCCGCATTTCCCAGTTGTTTCTTCATTCTTCTGTGGGTGGTTTTGCTGTTTTTCCAATCGATAAGAAGAGGAGAGAAGACCAACCCAGTTGTCAGTTCGTGTTGAGGTTTGAATCTTTCTTTGTCTGGTTAAAACGTTGGAGGAAGGACCCAACAACAATGGCTTCCACCAACATCTCTTGCCCTACAACAACTCTCTCACGTTCACAGTAAGCTTCCCCTCCTATTTTATATCTCCTCATTTATGTATATATGCATTCAAATCTATATATATATACACACACACACATATGTATAGATATGCTCTTGAGTGATATGGATTACATGAGCAAGCTCTGTGTAGGGGAATGGGTTTTTCGTATTTTGATTAGATCCAATTAGCCCATGGATAAAACACTTTAATACTGGCATTAATGAATTTAATGCTGTATTTTAAAGAAATGAATTGAGGAAAAATGATCATTTTGCAGAATTATTAGTTGGGTTTTGAATTAATTAAACATTTTTGCTGTTGTACGTGTATAATCGCTGTAGAGGGATAATCTATATTCACAAAGAGTAGGACTTCCAAAGCATGTTCTATGGATTGTAGGGTTTTGTTTCTTGCTGGTTTTGTAGGCCTCTCTATTGTCACCTTAAAGGAAATTGATCACTGAATAAGAAAAATGGGGAAAAAGCCTCAGAGGAACTTCTTTTCATGTTCCAACTTCTATTGACTTTCAAAAGAATCGATAGTATACTCGGGGGCTTGTAACTCTACTGCAGGGGGAAACAAAAAAGAAAAAAAGAATTTTTTTTTATAGCTGATTGGGTTCTGCTTTGTGAATGTCTTTCTTGCTGTTTTGCTACAACGTGCAAGATCTTATGTAAAATTTTTAAAAAGGGCAAACCAAATGCACGAGGCTCCTGCCAATGTGGGGTTTGAGGAGGGTCAGATGTATGCACCCTTACCGGCCTTTTTCTTGTTTGAACCCTGACCTCCAGGTGACAATGGAGCAACCTTACTGTTGCACCAAGGCTCATCCCTCTTCTGTTAAATCACATGTAAATATTTCCCTTTTTCCACCATGCCAAAGCAAAAGACTGTAAAGCGTTGCAAGATTTATGTTCACAAGGGTTCAAATATTGGTTTAGCTGGGTATGAACCTAATGCAACCCTCCTTCCTTTTGGCTTCGAGGAGCTTTCGATGGTTTTGTCAAACATGACCTGACATGTGATTTTTATGTTGATTTAGCAAGTTCTGTCGCAGACACACATTCTCGAATGTTGTCTTTGTATGCTATTTCAAATTTCAAAACCAACAGCATTTGATAATCTGTACATTGTTGACAAGTCTGACAATTCTTCCAACTGCAACCTTCTTTTTCTTTTGGCAATCTGAATATCCTGCTGACTTTTCGTTATTTTATGTAGGGTGTTCAAAAACTTCAACTTATTCAATGGACTTCGCTGTATGAATCTATCTTCTGCAAATGGGAACACATGTCATTTATCCATGATCCGTCTGGGTAGCAAATCATGCTTCGGTATTAAGGATCGCAGTGGAACTAGAGCTTCACTGTTATTTGGAGAAGGTGATCGCATGTCTCATCCCAATGGCACCTTTGTCGCTGGAAAAAGTACTCTACTCGGTGACCTATCAGCTGGGATCGAGATACAGCCTGATGCAATGGCATTTGGAACACTTGCAGCTGATACCACTCCAACAGCTCGTGGTTTTCCTATTGACAATGATGAATACGATTTGGACCGTCCAACAGAAGGTTTCTCATCAATCCCCGAGGCAATCGAAGATATTCGTCAAGGAAAGGTGGTTATCTTTTTATACTGTCATGTTATGAAATATATAACTTTTTTTTTTTTTTTTTGGTTATCTTATTACTTATCCATTACTAAGTTGGGTTAACATTGCAGATAGTAGTGGTTGTAGATGATGAAGACAGAGAGAATGAAGGAGATCTAATAATGGCAGCGTCGAAGGTTACACCCGAAGCCATGGCTTTTATTGTGAAGCATGGTTCAGGAATTGTTTGTGTCAGCATGAAAGGGGAAGACCTGGAGAGGTTGGAACTTCCTTTGATGGTAACCCACAAGGATAACGAGGAGAAACTTTGCACTGCATTCACAGTAACAGTGGTATGTAGTTTTTTTTATTTTTGCAACTTATAACTTGTGCATTCTTTCTTTTCTACTATATTTTAGTAGGACCTTCATTTTAATTAAAATCATGAAAATTTCTTATTCCAAATTCGATGAAGTTTAATTATCAAAATATCATACAATATTGCACCAGCAATTTTTTTTAGAATGGTATATTGGAGGGGAAAACTGGGCTTCGTTCTCTGTTTGTCAGAGATTAAAATCAGAAAAAATGTTCTGTGAAGTTCATACAAGTATCAATGACAGTAGTGATGATACAAAACCTTTAAAAAGTTATTCTCAGAACAGTTTTTACCATGATACTTAGTAACAATGTGTATAGTTTACTATTTGAAAAATATGTATTTATACTATACCACTGTAGGATGCGAAACATGGTACAACTACGGGGGTGTCAGCTCAAGACAGGGCAACAACAATATTGGCTCTCGCATCAAAGGATTCAAAACCTGAGGATCTTAACCGGCCAGGGCATATATTTCCGTTGAAGTACCGGGAGGGTGGTGTTCTGAAAAGAGCTGGACATACCGAAGCTTCTGTAGATCTTGCTATGCTAGCTGGGTTAGACCCTGTAGCAGTTCTATGTGAGGTTGTAGATGATGATGGTTCTATGGCTAGATTGCCAAAGCTTCGGAAATTTGCACAGACGGAGAACATGAAAATTATATCCATTGCTGATCTAATCAGGTAGGTTATCATATCATCCTTGAGGAGAGTATTATTATCAATGTTGATAACTTTATCAGCTCTTTCAACTCTTTTAATGGCATACAGAGTTAATTTCTTGTTAACTAAATTATAAAATAACACATTTTAGGGATTAAGCATAAGACTTGTTGGACTTGTTAAAAAAAAAATGCATAAGACTTGTGGGCGGTTTGCACCATTGTTGTTTCCACAGTTGATGACAAAATAAACTGTGTTTGACATATTATTGGACACAATTCAATTATATTCTGAAAGACTACCTAGAATTTAAGTCTATTTTGTGTGAAAATGTCTTCACATGACTTCAGGAATGGCCTTGTTTTCATACTCACAATTATTTGTGGTGATGGCTCCAATTTTGTTATCGACTTTGTTCCAGGGTATGGATTTGTGCATTATCACGATATGGCAAGAGAAGTGCAAAGATTGGAATGAAAACCCTATAATTACATTGCTAGTATAATGTTAAGTGATTGCAACAAATTTTTTAGTAAAGAAATCTTGCATTGCATGAACAATAATAAGAATAATAAAAATGCCCAAAATGCAAAGCCCCCCGCCAGCCCAATCTATAGTGCAGCAGTTTGGCAATCTAATGTAGTGTTGTACGTTTACACATATATATAAAGTACATATATCTAAATATATGTTCGTACATGTATTTGTATCTTAGTATATGTGTATTTTTTATGCATAGGTTTTATGTATGTATTCATATATGTATATTTATTAGGACAAGTATATTTATATATGTATACAGTTATATGTCACTATAATATATGCGCATATATATGTATATTCTTATCTTAATATATAAGTATATAGAATATTCTAGTTGCATTTTGTATATAGGATTATGTCAATAAATCAAGTCATAGCTCAGTTGTTGAGTACTTTTCTTTAAACCAATTGGTCATTGGTTCATAATCCATTTGTCCCAGTTAGATATTTTATAATTACGTGGAAAAAGGTTTTTAATCCAGCCCAAACCCAGCCTGGCTTGAGTTTGAATAACACCTGGATTGCTGGGTTTGAAGCAGCCTTTTGCCTTGATATTCTGGCCTTGCCTGTTGGCTGGTAAAAGCATGATTGGCCCAGCCTTTGCTCGAGTTCTTGGGGCTGGCTTGGTCTAATTAGAATCACTAATAAACAGTCATGTTATATTTAAGGTTCTTGTTGTGGAATAGGTGAAAATTTTGGTCCTTTCTCATTCAGCAAACATGAGAAGTTTGGTTAAAATTTTTGGTACACTTTATCTGATCTGATTTGATGTGGAGACATGGCCATCAGCTCACAGTTCGGTTGGGTGGACCTGAGGGGTCTTAATGTATAGGTTCGATATGTACACATGTTTTTCTATCTTTTTCCTGAGACAACTCTTTATCCTGTCATGAATACAACTCACAGTCAACTATTCTTTAATTAGGGGCATGATTATTTCTTTCATACTTTACACATGATGTATTTATGTAGACACACAATAGGACTAGATACCTTCCTTGCATCTCGCTCACTTACCTCCTTTCTTACACTACACTCACCTACCACCTTCCTAGCCTATATAAAGCACCTTATGTACTCAATTATGATTCAATTCAACACAATATACAAATTTATTATTTTTGACATGGTATTAGAGCTTCAAGGTTAAAGTTGGAGACCTAACGTAAGTTTTGTCTTCTTCGTTTTCTTCTTCTTCCCAATTTTTTTTTTTTTCTTTTATTATATAGTCAACTTCTCTACTTTTCCGTTCTTTTCTTCTCTCTGCATTTGGATGGGTTCCCAAACCCCCCCCCCCAAAAAAAAGTGTCTTTCTCTGTAATTTTGACAGAGATGACCTGAAAAACAGTCTTTCTCAGTACTTTATAGGAGGCAATCTAGTAACTTAGAAAAGTAAGAAGCAGTGGGTTGTAGCGCAGTCCAGTGCTGAAGCTGAGTATCGTGCCATGGCTCATACTTCCTATGAGTTAACTTGGTTGAGAACTCTGTTACAAGAATTTGGGTTTTCAGTTCAAGACCCATCTCTTCTCTATTTTGATAATCAGATAGCTATTTACATTGCTATTAATCCGGTTTTCCATGAGCGAACCAAACATGTTGAGGTGGATTGTCATTTTATTTGCTCTAAGGTGACCTCCAAAAAAATTGTGACTTTGTTCGTATCGCCCGGTAATCAGCTAGTAGATATCTTTACTAAAGCTCTTCCAAAACATGCCAACGATTCTATCTGCAGCAAGCTGAGAGTTGTTGACATCTACTCTCCAGTTTGAGGAGGAGTGTTGTGAATATAACTCACTGTCAACTATTCCTTAATTAGGTGCATACTGCTTTCATATTTTACACATGATGCATTTATCTAGACACACAATAGGACTAGATACATTTATTGCAGTGCACTCCCCTATCACCTTCCTTGCATTACACTCACCTACCACCTTCCTAGCCTATATATAAAGCACCTTATGTACACACTTATGATTCAATTCAATACAATATACAATTTTATTATTTTTGACATATCCTAACTGCGATTGCAGTGAACCATTTTAGTGTAAATTTGATTCGTCATGTATGCCATGTCACACAGTTAATGTAATTCTTCTAATCACATACTTGTATACTGATTATGAGGACAGGTTCTTAGATCACAGTTTGTATGGCTGGAGTGGTCCTGGTCTATAAAATTGGATTTGTGCGAGTTTGAAATGTGTTTACTTCTTGTATCTATTGTCCATTCCTTTAAGTATGGCTGCATATAAAAATATTTATTGTCCTGATTTATCCCTCATCTCAGAAAACGGTCCAGAAAATCAAAATGGCCCTGAATCACTTGTATTTCTTGTCTAAAGGCATTTTTTTTGTTGGGTTTCCTTTTTCCAAATGAGTTATGTATTTTATGGCCATCTTAACTGTAAAATGTAATGGAGCGCTTTTGTAATTGCACATGGTGGATCTAATATGGATTATAATTTGCAGATATAGGAGGAAGAGAGATAAACTAGTGGAACGTGCTTCTGCTGCACGCATGCCTACTATGTGGGGACCATTCATAGCCTACTGTTATAAGTCAATCATAGATGGGATCGAGCACATTGCAATGGTCAAGGTGAGCAACTTTGAGACTGATACTCAACTATTTCGAGTCATTTTGTATTTCGTTGAAGTACAACTCCAAATGAGGGTATGCAGGGTTAATGGTTACCATTGAACTATTCAAGAGTACTTATCCTCGTATTTGGTCCCTCACCCCTCACCCCCCATCCCAGACCTTTTCTATTACTTGGTATGAGCTTTCAGGTCACTCTGGTTTTAAGGTGGGTGTAAAACATGAAAGGACCCATCCAGCTTTCATTATAAAACTAAAAATCTAAAGGTGACAAAAAAATGTTAGGTTCCAATTAGGTTTGAGTTGACCAAAGTGGATAGGGTAATTTTATTATTATGGCTAAACATTTTATATATATTTTTTTGTAAAAAAAGAATTTCTTGTTTTTGGTGGTCTAACTAGGTTCTATTGCCTTACCATAAGCGTTTTGATTTGAACTTTTTCCTTTATATATAGAGTATATATTATTGGGCCATTAGGAGCAATTTTAACAAGGTTTGTTGTGTACACAGGGTGATATTGGGGACGGGCAAGATATTCTTGTGAGGGTACACTCAGAATGCTTGACAGGAGACATATTTGGGTCAGCCAGATGCGACTGTGGGAAACAGCTAGGACTTGCAATGCAACAGATTGAGGCTGCTGGCAGGGGTGTATTGGTGTACCTTCGTGGGCATGAAGGAAGGGGCATTGGTTTGGGCCACAAGCTTCGTGCTTATACCCTACAGGATGATGGGCGTGACACTGTGGAAGCCAACGAGGAGCTGGGTTTGCCTGTTGATTCAAGAGAATATGGTATTGGTGCACAGGTACTGCTTTTGATATTCTTTCCACAAAAAATCGAAATTGAATCTTGTCTATCCGGTATTATGTCCCCAATGCAACACAGAAATAGGAATTTTTAGACTACAGAATAATTGAATGGCTAATAATCATTTGGAAAACAAAGAAAAATGAATCTCATTTAAACAACATTCTAGTAAATTTACAAGAGTAAAATTTTTGAATCAAGAGAAAAATAAATCCTATTTAGTAGGTTAAAGTTAAACTCTCTCTTTCTTAGCATTTCAATGCTCTGTTTAGTTGCTTACAAGATGGTATAGAGCAGAAAGTTTGATTACCAAGGGAAAAAAAAATCCCGAAACAGTTTGATTTCCTAAACCACCATTCCGAATCAAATACTTCAGTAAATATCCAAGTGTGAAATTCTAAAGAAAATTGTGGAGTTGAAGTTTATATATTTAATCATTGCAGATACTAAGAGATCTTGGAGTTCGAACAATGAAGCTGATGACAAACAACCCTGCAAAGTACGTAGGACTCAAGGGTTATGGCTTGGCAGTTGCAGGCAGGGTGCCCCTTCTGACTCCCATTACTAAGGAGAACAAGAGATACTTGGAAACAAAACGTGCCAAAATGGGCCACATCTATGGCCTCGAATTCAATGGCCGTCCAAACGATGTCATCAATGGAAATGGTAAACCAAGCTCTGAGTGTCCCTCCGATGGTATATCTGATTCATAAGCCTGCTTCAGAGATGTCATGCTAGCGAGAGATCCTTGATGGACTGGCCTACGTGACGGGAAGGTGACATTAATAAATCACATAGTTTCGAAGTTAGATATTGGATTGAAAATTTTTTCATTCTCTGTCCCAGAATCAAAATTGTACTGCAACATTATTAGTGAAATCTATCTATGGTGAAAATTTAGGCAAAGAACATCTATATCATTCTTTTACCCACAAGTGGAAGTCTATTATTTTCGATCCGAATCAGTGGCTCACAGAAAGTGGTCATAAATGTAATCTTTATTTGAAGAACATGTATTCCTACACACGCATATAACTACTACAAATTTTACAGTATAATTTTTAATATAAATACAACAAATAGGGTTATTTTTTACTAGAGCATGAGAGCTTTGGTGGTCTAAACTCATCAGGCAGGAGAAGAGGTGGGAGTTTCAATATATATATGAATGGTAAAGCTAACACACCCTTTTGTACACAGGCTCAGGCACTTTGGTCGGAGTTTCAAATTCCCAATTATAAAAAATGGAAGTAGAGAAAATTAAAATAATTTTGATGCCAGTTTGGTTTAGGGGGTGGCCACGGATCTTTGCTCCGCTCCCAGTGGATCAGACAAATTTTAATCTGCCATCAATCCGTTATCCTACGAATTGGATTCGCGGATTGGGTTTTATCTAAATTATCCATTATTATTTTTATAATTAATATTATTTATTTATCTTTTAACCATATAAAATTTTAATTTATTAATATTAATTCATATATTTAAATAATTATTAACTAATATATCATTAGAGTCCATTAAATTAACTAATATATTCTTTTAAAAAATATATATAAATTTCACGGATGGACTGGATCGGATTTCTTTACAGTCCGTGAACTATGGATTAGATTTTTTTGAATTTGCCACCGATCCGCCGGTGTAGCAATCATATACGATTCGCACGGATCGGATTCGCGGATTGACGAATTATTTACCCGCTCTTAGTTTTGTTAGATGAAAATAGCAAAAAAGAAATGAAATAGAAAATTTTTGAACACTTAAAAAGAAGTTTTATTTTTTTTTTTTATTTATTTCAGAACTTTGCGGAAAAATTACTTTTCACAACAACCTAACTTTCCCATAGATTTTTTTTTTCGGTTCGGAAGTTTCCTTTTTCTATTTCTGAGTTCAATAGGCTGGATTCGATTAGATGGAAATTAATAATGAAAAGTAACTTTCCCATAAAATTTTGGAAAATTTTGATTTTTTGAATTTTTTTTTTGTGAACTTACAATAATGTGTGTGTGTATATATATATATAATAGTAAAGTTTCATGCCATTGAAACATGAAATGGTTATTCTTCAAAAAAAGTTTTGAACCTTTTTAAAGCTAATCGATAAAAAAGTTAATTTTACTCTATCTACTTCAGTTTATTTTACTTTTATATTTTACTATTAATTTCCATCAAAACCAAATTCATCCTATTGAACTCAGAAATAGAAAAAAAAGAAAAAAAGAAAAAAAAAAAGAACTCCAAAAAGAAAGAAAATTGGGAATCACTCCTTATTTGGTAAGTTTGAGATTTATAGTCCACCCTTTGATATTTCTTAAAATACAAGTTAATTCAGAATTGAAAATCCTATGGGGTTCCTATAAGGAGCGCGTAGTCGCGTACTCCTTTGCTGTTACGAAAATACCCTCGGAAGTGTCTATATATATTCTCACTCCCAGAAGCAAATTCCCCCTCTCTCTCTCTCTCCGCCTCTCTCTCTCACTCCATTTTCCGAAAAAAAACTCCCTCTCACTCTAAACCTCTTTTTGACCTTGTTTGTTTCTCTCTCTGCAATGGCTTACACAAGCGTTGTTGCGGTTCTGATGATAATGGCATTTATCTCCGGATCTGCAATCGCCGCAAGACCAGCATCGTCACCAGCATCGTCACCGACGATTTCTCTGCAACCAGCTGCTGCTCCTCACGCTGCTGCTCCTTCTCAGGCGGTTAAGCCGCCAGCCTCTTCTCCCGTCGCCCTAACACCTTCTCCGGCAACTGTCGACTCTCCTCCGTCCCCTCCTGTGTCGTCTCCGGCTCCTGCAACTTCTCCCAACGCTGCCGACTCTCCTCTGTCCCCTCTTGCGTCGTCTCCGGCTGATGCAACTTCTCCGACCGCCGACGACTCTCCTCCGTCCCCTCCTGTGTCGTCTCCGGCTGCTGACGGTCCTTCGTCGATGATTGACGAGCCTTTGTCTGAAGAACCAACTCCTAAACCAAACGGCGCCGCTTTCAACAGACTCGGCTTCGGATCAATCGTTGTCGGTTTGTTTACAGTCGCTGTTTGCCTGTAGTTGATCGGATGTTTCTCTCTGGACGTTCTTCACCGGATTTTTATTTAGTATTATTGTTTAAGTAGGGATTATTTACATTCTTTTGTTTTCTTAACTAATTAATTTTTATACCATTATTGTTAACGATGGTTTGATCTTTTTATACGTATTGATTTGGTCATCACTTCACTTTTATCACTTCACTTTTATCAAATTATCATTATTGAGGTCTCAGACTCTCATTTCACATTCCTAACTCTGTTTTTGTTTACACGTATTGATGTATACACTAACACACATAATAATAATAATAATAATAATAATAAATAAATAAAGCATAGAAAATTAAATAAAAAATTAAGAGAAAAGAAAAACATTATTGTAAAATAATACAAAGAAAAGATGATTAGAGTATAATTCAATATGGGAAATTTGATTTTAGGAAAATTAAATAAATTTAAATAGGAAAGAAAGAAAATACTTTATAATTTTTTTTATATATAATTAAAAAAATAGAAAATAATTATATATATTAAAGGGCGCGGGATTGCTATGGCAATAGGGACCTAAAAAAAATATGTGAGGTGGGATGGGACCGAAGAGAGACAGAAAAAAAGTGTTTTATTATGTGAATAAAATATTTATCATCAACATTTGTCTCTTAAAAAAAAAGAGAGTATGGAACGGAGGTGGCGGGTGGAAGTGAAAGTCAAAAAATATATAAAAAATTTACTTTTATATATTTATTCCAGTTAAAAAATTATAATTTATTTATTAAATATTTATTTGATAATTTTTTAACTATTAAATAATACTATATTTTTATAATTAATTTACTAATTAATTTTACTGAGTAGTTACATAGTTTAACTTTGTTTATTACTCTCTCCTTCCATATTAGTCCTCCACTTTTATTATTAGGACTTTTTAAAAAAGCGTGTTCAATTTATTTCCTTTTAAAATTAATGTAGCTGTGCATATCTGTGTTTGGAATGGGAGGGGATTTAACTAGAATCGGATTTGGAAAATTTATTTGGAATTGGATTTGGAAAGATATTTCATATGTTTGGATTGGATTTGGAAAGAATCAGGATTTAACGGGATTTCATGAGAAATTTCATAACTTGGAGAAAATATGGGAAAATTGGAAGGATTTGAAAATTTACACTACTGTGTGTTTTTTTTTTGTTTGTACCAAAATTAACCCTACTCTTTTCATGATCTTCCCACTCAAACTTATCTATTAGTCCACTCTCTCTCATCTTCTAAAAATTACAATTGACCAGTCTTCTATTTTTCAGTTGAAGTTGTGTGCTTGTATTTCACTCCACCTTTGGAGTATTTGCCATCTATTGCAGTGAAGAGAAGCCTCTACTCTATTTCCGTGATCACCTTTGCGATATTTGGAATAACATTTTTGGAAATCTCCAATATAAAGGTTGAGACCTGTACAAATTAGTTTTCATGTAATTACTGAATGTTTTGTGATTTTTATTTATTTTTATTTTTATATACACACATCTATAGGGTTACAAATGGTACAAAATTTATTTTTCTTCAAATTCTTTTTTATGAATTCCAATTTATTCTTAAAAATCGAAATTCCATTTTAATTAGAAGTTAGAATCCAATTCATTTTCCATTTCAATTTTAAATCTCAAAAGATTTGGTTCAAAAGATTTGATTCCAAACAAAGCGTTAATTTCTATATAATTATATAAAATTGTTAGATCTCAATCTTCTCAAATTTGCATTAGTTTTTTTTTTTTTGTTCTGTTTTCTTTTTATAAGAGTATAGATTTCTTTCTTTCTTCCAGCGCAGCATTCAATCCATTTTTAAGAGTACCACATAGGCCCGACAAATCGATGGGTTTGTATGGATTTGGACCGGGTTGAAGAATTTTGGGTTTTAACCCGTGTACAAACGGGTTGGATAGATGAGAATGTCACATCGAGGACAGTCTGCATTGCAATGGGTTGTATAAATATGTCAGTTTTTTGCAATACCATGATCCATGCATCTCTCTTAATTTGGAGTGTCGATTGGATGCTATGTGAGTGAGGAGGGTGAGGTGTGGGCCTCGGGTCGGAATCCTTCGAAAGATGCATCATTTATAATGAAAAATTTATAATTCATTAATTTGTCACAAAAGATTAAGAACAAAGACGAAGTTACATAGAAAGCACAGAGTGCTATTATGTTGTGCTTGATTCATGAAGTTTTTCGAGATGTTTATGTAGATACTACATTGGTATGGGCTGTGGAACAAGTTGGAGAACTTGGAGGCTTGGTACATGGCAAAATCTCAACCACTTGTATCATTTAAAGAAGCGGTTGTTCACTTTTCAGCTCCATGAAGGTTCGTTTCTGAAAAAAAAAAAAATTGCAACATATTTCGCTTATGAATGAAATATTCAAAATTAATTACACTCTTAAAATGATGTATATCAAGTATCGATCTTACCAACCAAAAAAATATATTTTATGAAATTGGTAATCAAGTACTTGATTCCTAAGTTACATAAAGCAAGAATGCAAAAGTGTTAAAGCGATCAAATTTAAGTTATACAGCGTGAAAGCAAGAGCTACACAAAGCGTGAGAGCAACACCAATTCAAAAGAATTGTTTGACTTAGCTTGAATATGTATAAACATATTTTGGAGCCAAACAAGCATAAATTGCACAATCACTTGATAATCAATCAAAGCGAGACCAATTTTAAGGAATAAGCAATATCTTCAATCTAAAATGAAGTCAAATCGATTAAATTAAAAACAAGCTTAAGATTGCACAGAGCCACAGATTAATCTCATTTTATTTCAATAAATTGGTTGTCAGCCAAACCTATGTTGCATGCAAACAAGGTATAAAACAATTGAGACTGCACAGCTTAATTATTTCATAAAGAAATTAAAAACAAATTGAGATTATTTCTTTTTTCAATACCAACCCTGTTATGGGGATGTGCGGTACATGTATTGCATGTATTCAAAACATGTCAAGAAATTTGTCCTTGTATACTACTTTTCTTCATCTTCCTTTTCCTTTAGCTTATCAATAACTGGCTCAACAAATGTCTCCAAGTCTTTCAAGTCTTGCTTCAATTCATCAACCTGTGAATTCAAGTAGATAAAAACTACAAGTCAAAAAAAACACACACACACCCACACGAACACTAACTCCGTTTGTTTCGACGTAAAATAATTTTTTTGAAAAATATATTTTTTTCAGTTAAAATTTTATTTTATTTTTATTTTGTCAGTATTTGGCAAAGGTCTACCTCGAGATTGAGGTCGACTTTATTGGACGGGGCATGTAAAATAATTTGTCGAAAATTGATCAATAAGTTATTTTTGTTAAATTTTAATATTTTTTTTTTTCATAAATATTTTACGACAACCAAATACTAGAAAATAAAAAAAAATATTTTTTTAAAAATATTTTACGTCCAGACAAACAGAACCTAAAAGTATTTAAAATTAAGCAATTGGTTCTTGCTGCACAGTATTCTCAAATAAACATAGATGATTTTTTTAAAAATATTTTACGTCCAGACAAACAGAACCTAAAAGTATTTAAAATTAAGCAATTGATTCTTGCTGCACAGTATTCTCAAATAAACATTGATGATCATGATAATATGATATGCCCTCTTGAAATTACTTGTTCTCTTCCAATTCTATTGCCAAAAAGTTACTCCAAGAGTGTTTTTAAAAGAAAAACCAATTTAATGTGTGTGAAAACTGAAAACACAGTACCTTGTGAATAAGATCTAGTACTTGTTGAGCATCCTTTGCTGTGACACTAGATACATGTTCTATGCACAATGCTGCATCCTTGAGTTTGCCATTGAACGGAATCTTATCAGCCACCTCTGCTGATATCTTCTCAGTTGTAGTCGCCACCTTTTCGATCTCCTCTGCCACATTTTCCACCTCTTCCACAACTTCCTCTGCCTTCCCTAAGTTGTATAAATTAACAAGTTTCAGTCCAATTCCATTAGAAATCAACAAAGAAATTTCTTTAACTTTTAGATTGTGAGTGTCAGGACTGATTTTATTTTTATTTTTATTTTTCATTTGTTGAATAATAATAATAATAATACTAATTCTCAGCTTGTTTCAGGCAACAGAAGCAGACAATGCATTATATGGTGATGAATATATATACCTTCCAACCTTAGCAGAGTTTTCAGTTTTTGCTGCCAAAAAGGTAGTAGAAAAGTCAATAAAGAGCCCAAAATCCATTTTGCCCTGCAAAACACAATTCCCCTCAGCTCTTTCTCCCAAATATGTATGTATTAAAAATACAATCTTTTAATGAATGAACAAACATGAAAATGTCTCAATAAACATCAAAGAGTGCGTTCGGAATAGCTATATATCCTAAACGCTTTCTTGCCAAGTTTTATTACAACATAAACACATTCTTCACTTTCAATTTCAAGGGATAGTCATTGTCAATATTGACTCTTCACCAATTATTACTCTGTCATGCATGTTTCTTTTAATTCAAATAATAATTAACAATGAAAAGCTTATAATTCTCTTTTCTATTTTATGTAGAGACGGAACAAGAAATCAATTTGAATCTTGTTAGTTAAACCAAATGGTATATTTGATCTCTCATTCTCAAAGGAGAGGTTGAGAGTTCGAGTTTCGTTAAAAACAATATTGTAAATCTATGTGTATTTGTTTGAACTTTCGGAGAAAAAAAAAAAAAAAAAATTCATGTCAAATTTCATTTATAAACAATTTTTTTAAGTACCACATATAAAATCTGGGCATAGAAGAAGGTGGCACTGGTACTGGTTGAACCTTGTCCACTTTATCCTTCACCCTACATTAAGGAACAATAATAAATCTTATATATTCAAAACTTCACAGCAGAAAATTCATAAAAATAAGGCATGAACATAAAAACTCTTGAAGAAGATGATTCACATATGGTCAGGCTTGTGCTTTAGATGTGCTCCACTAGAACTGCCAGCACTGGTGCAAATCAATCTCAACCCTTGATGTGTAGAACAACTATATACAACGTTAGAGAAACGCACATCACGGTGCTGTGACTGAGATGGATTGCCAGCGAAAAGCCAATAACGATGAACTGATGTAATCAGACTTGAAATTTTATAAGAAGCCCAAAAATTTCTCACCGCCATTGTAAATTTCTAGTACTTAATGGATTCAAGAGCTAGCTTCAAGACTCAAGCTTAATGCCTGTATGAATATATGTATGTGCATATATATATATATATATATATATATATATACACATATCATGCATGAATCAAAGACCAAGCATTCAAATTGATATTGAAGCTGGCCTTAGCTTTCTATATGTACTTTTAATGGCATTTTACGTGTTGGGAATGTTTGGGAAATGCTGAAAATGTGAAAGAAGATCAGAACACGCCAAGGGATATATGATGTAAAACGTTTTTGATGATGGGTAGGATTTAAAAGGTCACTTTAAGCTACAGATTTCCTTCCACCGAACAAAAAGCTAAACAAGTCACATGTTTCTTGCAAGTTAATGGTACTTCAAATCTGTTCCAAAGCCTTAACTACATGTGTGTACCTATATATTATCTATATCGATCTATATATATATGTTTGAAACTCAATGTCCAATCCTACGTGTAATATTATCCACAAGCTCTCTGCAATTCGAAGCCTTAAGCACCGTAGAAATAAGGGGAACTCCCAAGTATTTGATAGGAAGAGATCCACAATCAAACCCAGCAATGCAATCATAACATTGATTAGGCTGTCCTTAATGTGCCTACCATGAATAAATGAATTTTGACAAGGGTCTATATATAATGGAGAGAGAAGCTAGCTTGAGCTTGTAAGCTATAAGATTGGCAATGCATTTATATTGCAAAAAAAATTTAAATTTGCAAAAAATGAAATAAAAATGCATTTATATAAAAGTGCAATGTATGAATTGTTAATGTCCTTGAGCATCTCGCCATTTGTGAAGAAAGCCTTTATGGCCTCAGTGACTTCACAACCCACACAGTTTGCGGCCTTGTAATAAAAATGGGCATTAAAACTGAAGATGCAAGAAATTCCTTCTCCTCTTTCTCTCTCTAGAATTCTTACACCTCAACCCCCAAAAAAATCCCCCTCCATTTCATTCCATCTCCTATTTATAGATATTTACAAGATATTTACAAGATATTTACTAATTGCTGGATCTGGGCCTATTCCTTCGTAAGCCTTGGTCACCTTTGATGGGCTTACTCTCGTTCGGCCCATATGGCAGTGTCCTTCTATGGGCTGGCCCAGCTGTACGGACTGAATGCTATGTTTGCGAGTCGGATCTGGCCCGTGTCATCCGGGGCCTCCTCAACTGCCCCCATAATTGCCCCTTATTTAATAAGGGGTAATTATTGATGGCGTCTCATCATGATGTTGACGGCTCGAGATAACCACGTGGGGGAGCGGACGGTCAGATCCAACATCAATGTTCCGGGGCTCGAGGGATTTCTCGCCTTCCCGACGCTTCGGCCCTCGGGCCCCCTAGCCTTTATAATGCTCTAGAATTCCACTTCACTTCCCTTTACCGTCTCCATCATCAGCCAAGTCCCTCTCTTTTCTAGAACAGTGCTAAGCTTTCCTTGGTGAAATCCTTCAAGAGTCATTCTTCCAGCGATCTTGCAGTCCTCCGAGGTTAGTTTCGTTCTTTTTACTTTCGGCAGGCTTCCATTTACCCTCTTGTAGATTCTTCTATCACTTCCACCATGGTTGTAGATCTGGATGTTCTTCGTATGAGACTTAGACTTCCTGACAACATCGAAGTTAGGGTTTGCCCCCAAGACGTTAATATTACGACCGGCGCCGGCCTCCTGCCTGGCGAAGTCTTATTCACGAACCTTCAATTGAATGTTGTTAGGTTCCCTCTGCACCCTTTCTTTAGTTATGTCTTCAATAGATTGGGGATATCCCCTCTGCAGGTCAACCCCAACTTCTTTAGAATCATATCTGTTATGCTCTTGTTGATGCGTGACAGAAATCTGGACCTCAACCTCATAGACCTCCTTCTGTGCTATAAGGTGAGTAAGATCCGTACTAACGAGCCCTTCTACCACCTCTACCCGTTCGAGAAGATGTCCATATGTACTGACACAATAAAATCTGAAAAGGGTTGGAGGGATAGCATAGTGGGCATTAGTGGGGCTTGGTCTTCGCCGGCTGCAGAGGGTTACCCAATCCCGAGCGCCTTTGGTGTCTGCTCTGTCTCCTCCTATAAAAAATTAAATCCCATAAACATGACTGCCCCTGTGAAACATGCGTTCCTCGTTTTTGCACTTACTTATGCCGCTCCTTGGGAATACCTTGTGATGACTTGAGCTATAGTGTTTGCCGGGATAGGAGTAACTACTTGAAGAGATACGTTCTGAACGATATTCCTTCCTGCTCAGATCTCCTCACTTCAGACAACCTCTTAGCGCTCTCATCACTCGGCTACAACATGAGCAGACTTCAGATTCCCTCTTTTGGCAGGAGGAAAAATACTCCCCCAGCCACTCCTGCTGCTGGGGCGACCTCCTCTCCAGCGTCAGCTTCTTCTTCAGCCACCATATCTGACACTGTCCCGAGCGCAGTGGCTACTAACCCTGTTGCCGGCGCCCCTGCTGCCAACCAGAACGCGCCCTCCCCAGCTACCATAGCTCCTGCTGCTGCGGGGGGCGGTCGGGACAAAGAACGAGGCAAAAGGCTTCATCCTGACAGTGAAATCGATCCTGAGGAGGAGCCTCTCATTAGAAGGACCCGGGTCTCTGGGCCGAGTACTCTCTTGCACCGAGCGATCAGAGCTCCTTCTCCCTCTGGGCCTCCTGCAGCTGGTGGCTCTGCTTCTGCTTCAGGCCCCCCTTCTATCCCCAGCTTACCGCCATGGGCCCCTCGGTACACCCGAACGGATGGGACGTTCGTGAAACCGAACGAGACCATGCTGAAGGATGGCCAGACCGCTATGGCCTACTACAGGAGCATGTGGACTCCGAAGGACCTTGAGGCGGCAAAGGGCCTTTCCCAGAAGGACGTGTTCAGTCGCTTTCCCCAATCTGCTATGGAGGTGACTTTTATTTTCTAACTCATGAATTCTCTCATATTACTTGGTCTTGCCTTCGCCCGTTCTGACTATTGGTTTAACCGTTTTTAATGTGCACCTATGCAGACATTGTTCGGGATGATGGCCATGCAGAAGCAGGTGGAGATGGGGAACGCCAGGGCCCGTAAGTATTCTGACAGCCTGGAGGTGGCTAATAAAGAAAACGACCTCCTTGCCATGAAGAATACCGAGGTGCTGGTTCGGCTTGACAAAACCGAGCAAGAGAGAGATGTCCTGAAGAAGGAGAATGATTCCCTTCAGGATGAGAAGGACGCCCTCCAGCTTGAGAAGAGCGTCTGGCAGACCGAGCGGGAATCAATTAGAGAAGAGAAGGCAGAACTCCAGCGCCTTCTAGCTGATGAACAATCTGCTCGGATGGCCTTTGAAAGAAGAGCTCTGGACGAGCGTACCGCTCTGATCGACGCGATCAGCAGAGTGGGTGGTGGGATGCTGGCCCTTCACGCCCGGTTCTTAAGGGTCGGTGCTCTTAGGTATGCTCAAGGATTCCGAGAAGGTTTCGCCGACCGGGTTCCGGATGAGGGACAGACCAGCTCCACTCCGGATGAGGTAGACAAGGATCTGGGGATCGAACCTCTGGGGGTCTATGTCGACCCAGAACCTACCGAAGCGGAGCGTATATTTGATGAGTGCCAGGACATCGCATCCTCAAGGATCATCACAGCTCCTCCTACCGCTCTGCCACTGACCGCTCCCCAATCGTCAACCGTGGTTCCTTCTATAGCCACTGCTGACGCTGAACCCCAGCCGAACGATTCAGTCGTTCACCTTGATTCCCCACCTCATGAAGGTGAGGCGGCTGATGGGGCCGAGGAGGCGAGTCGGCACGACCAGGATGCTGTTGGTACTGAGGCGTCTAGCTAGGGCTCCTTCGAATTCTTCTATTTCATATCTTCTTGTAATGATGGACATCTCTCTTTTGTAAACTCAATGTTCAATATTAATGAAATGACAGAACTCTTTTTCCCTATGTGTTGTGCTCTATTCAACTCATCTTCAGTACATACATATCTTTTCACTCTTTTTCTTTTATATTAGCTTTGCCGTGTGTTTGTTTACAGCAAGTGCCTGGCGCTCGGCTAGGATGCCACTTGCCACTTGCCACTTGGCTTTAAGCTTTTAGCAAGTGTCTGGCGTTCGGCTTATAGTGCCAGCTGCCACTTATCTTGCTCAAGTGCCTGGCGCTCGGCTAGAATGCCACTTGCCACTTGGCTTTAAATTTTTAGCAAGTGTCTGGCGTTCGGCTTATAGTACCAGCTGCCACTTATCTTGCTCAAGTGCCTGGCGCTCGGCTAGAATGCCACTTGCCACTTGGCTTTAAATTTTTAGCAAGTGTTTGGCGTTCGGCTTATAGTGCCAGCTGCCACTTATCTTGCTCAAGTGCCTGGCGCTCGGCTAGAATGCCACTTGCCACTTGGCTTTAAATTTTTAGCAAGTGTCTGGCGTTCGGCTTATAGTGCCAGCTGCCACTTATCTTGCTCAAGTGCCTGGCGCTCGGCTAGAATGCCACTTGCCACTTGGCTTTAAATTTTTAGCAAGTGTCTGGCGTTCGGCTTATAGTGCCAGCTGCCACTTATCTTGCTTAAGTGCCTGGCGCTCGGCTAGAATGCCACTTGCCACTTGGCTTTAAGTTTTTATAGTAGACCGTTGGAAAAGAAAATTCTTTTTTGTAAATTCCAGTAACTTGCTCATTCATACGTATTTGATTGACAACAAACAACATCCAATTAAAGCCAGAACTTAGCTTTTATTGGTAGTACCTCTTCAGAGACGTGGCGTTCCAGGGCTAGCTGACCAACCTTCCCGCCATGGTTTCCAACGTATATGCCCCCTTGCCAATGACTTCTGCAATTCTGTATGGGCCTTCCCAGGGTGGCATCATTTTTTTGACCATCCCCACCTTTCTTTTCAGAACCAGATCGCCAGGGGCAAAATCCCTGTGTTTTACTCTCTTGTTGTGACTATTCGCCAGCACTTGCTGATACGATGCTAGCCTTATAGCCGCTGCGTCTCTCCTTTCGTCTATCATGTCGAGGTTCAATCTTAACATCTTGTCGTTCTGATCCCGACTCCATGCTAAGCTTCTGATAGTGGGGACTAAATGCTCAACCGGTATAACTGCTTCGGTACCATACGCCATTGCGAACGGGCTCTCCCCAGTCGGCCGCCTTGGGGTGGTTCTGTAAGCCCATAGAACATTCGGGAGTTCATCCAACCACTTCCCCTTATGATCTTCCAGCCTCTTCTTAATGTAGGCGAAAATGGTTCTGTTTGTGATTTCTGCTTGTCCGTTGGCCTGAGGATGACTTACTGCAGCCAAC